TCATTTGTATGCCGACTGCTAGTTCCTTGCCACTCAGGCAGATGCATTCCGACATTGAAAGAAGCTTGAAATTAGTCGACTCTTACGACATACTTTTGGGTAGGCAGTGGGTCTATTCTTGTTTTTCCTATAATAGGGCCTCGGAACTGAAAAGTAAAGTAGGCAAAGTTTGTAAAGCTATATAGAAAACACTCTCTACTGGACAGTGAAGCAGCAAATCATGTGAATCAAATGATGTGACGATAAACCAAATATTCTCTACTGGACAGTGAAGCAGCAAATCATGTGAATCAAATGATGTGACGATAAACCAAATATTCTCTACTGGACAATGAAGTAAGTAAAGTATGCCCCAAAAAAATAGGTAGCTCGGTAATTTCGGTCACAGACATGAGGACAAGATAAGGCCGGTATGATGTGTATAAAGAGATACTCTTTACCTCACCTAAGGTGCCAGCAGGCTCTGTGATGGTTTTATAGATCTTCATGCAAGACTCCTGCCACACATCCCCACAGTGTGCTATGAATAATGGCTCATATGGGCCTTAACATAGCCTAAACAGAGCTTGCAGTGGATCTCGGAGTTGGTAGTACCCAGATATGCAGTGTTCAGAAACCCCCCTGGTGAGGTTTATCAGCCTACCCCCAGTAAAAGGGTGATAACGTACATTGAAAACTACAACATAACAGCAATTGTTACAGATGGCCAACCACTGAATGTTCTACTGTGTGACAGATAAAGTTAAAATATATCTTGCAACTGGCACCCCTCATCTGAGTGTTGGGAACAAAAGTCTAATGGCCAAATTGTCCTACAGATTGAGAAATAAGGTTCAGACATCGTAACATAAATTTTCCTACCGATAGATTGACAGAAAGGTGCAAACGTCCGCTACCACTGGCCCTGCTCGTTGGAGTGTCAGGACCAATTGGGGAAGCCAATGCATGATGCAGGCTCTCCAATACAGTCAGTGTTAAGTGTTCTGTTGCAACAACTCTTAAAGTGTCTAATTTGTAGAAGAAGAATGTGCCCATTTGTGTGGTGACTGAAGTCACGGACCTGCTGGCTACTTTCTGTTGATCCCCAAAGAATGCAGCCATTGGTGAGAGGGCAGCTAAACATATGGATACGAAGTTAAGCAGCCGTGAGCATGTTGTGATGATTCCTTGGGTGAGCCCAGTACCAGACCATTATGTGTCGGCTCTGCATTTATGGAAGCCACTTTGAATGGTGAGAAATGCCCATGATCTGTCTCTGCCTTGCCGTGAAAGCCAACTAGGTGACATGAGGTTGCCCTGGATGGGTTCTCCAAGGGCAACACCTGTGAATAAAGGGGCAAAGAGGAGACTACACAAATAAGGCTAGGTTATGTCGAAAGAAACTAACCGGAAAGGCCAACCCGGTGAGCACATGCCTGATGAAGTCGGATGTGTCAGCCAATTGGTGCAAATATTGCAGCTTGACTGTAAACGGGCACAACGAAATTATTTCACTCGGACGAATGATGAAAAGGAAGAAACAAATGTAGTGACAATATACCAAATGCCTACTACTTGACAGTAAAGTTAGCAAATAATCTGAACCAAATAAAGTGATGATAAACTAAATATTCTCTGCTGGACAGTGAAGTAAACAAAGTATGTAATACAAATGCAGTGACGACATACCAAAGCATGTGAATAAAATGTTTCAGCAAAACTCTCTCTGTATAATTCAAACAACAGGTCAAAAGTTTTAGAAAATTACAGTTCCCATCGTTTTCTGCACTTTATGTCTACTGGAGCATCAGACATATCTCCCTTTGGAGCACTGAACATATCTCCCTTTGGAGCATTGGACATATCTCCGACTGCAGCATTGAACATATTTCCCTTCTTCTTGTCCTTTTTGCTCTACTTTAAATTCTCTGGCCCTGTGGGTTTCAATGCAATGATATTCTAGTTATATATTTTTTCTTCAATGTGTCCCACCTTCTGATTCTCTGAAATTCGTATAATTTTAAAATAAACTGAAAAAGGAAAAGAAACAACTAGAATACTTACCAACAAGATTTGTATATAACAAGTGATTAGTCTTTTATCCACTAGACAACAGCTCTGAGTATGACAGTACTGTGTGTTTGAGATTCTTGAGGAGAAAAATAGAAAAATGTGATTAATTACTGATGTAGATTAAGGACGGGCAAAGTTAATGCAGTAAAACCTCATTAACTTTTTGAGACCGGAGCAACACTGTGGTGTTGATGAAGAAGTTCCGATTTCCCCAAACAGCACAATCACCATATATCTGTGTCCCGTACATAATGATCTGCGTATGGCTTGTATTCATTTCTAATGTTTGGAACTACCATTAAAGTATTCAGGGAAGGTTACTCTAGCATTTTTCTTTGTATAGAAGTCTTTGTTTGCACACATGTGGGTGCAAATTGATCCAATTGATTGCTAGCGTAATTTTCAGACAGTGCATTTTTTTATTTATTGTTCAACTGGCCAGGGATACCAAAGTTCCGAACACAAGCACAGACTGAAAAATCTGCCTTTCTGTGCTGAAGCTCTGAAACTGTTTCAGTCAGATGTTTTTTAATTCTGATAATGATAATGAGAGATATCAATTTTTTGGGAAAGTGATTCAAATGGTAAATTTACACCATTGGCAGCAGTGCGTTCAGCTGTTTGTTCTGATGAGGTAGATCCAGGACCCATTTCATTTGCGAAGGATGGGTTAGTCACCCACACTTTCATCTAAAAGACTGTTTTAGACAGTACTATATTCACTTTATATTTTGTGTGTGAAAATTTTTCAGCACTCTATGAGAACCTGGAGCCTCTGAGTGATAATCTAACCCAGAAACGTCTCTAACTTTTGAATTTGTTAGGAACCTAAACAAACTTTAAGGTGTTATTCTCTAATTTGAATATTCATTGCTCTTGTTAGGATTTTTTTTTTTTTTGGGAAGGGGGGGGGGGGGTAAAACTGTCTTTGTAAACATAACATCTGCTATATTCCTACTAATTACAACAGCACTAAACAAAAACACATCAGATTCAAAATGTACATTCATTACTCTTTAACAATATGCATACTTTTGTAGAGATTAGAAATATATTACACTCTCAATCACCTTTATTTTTTATCATGCCTCCCCTTCTACCATTTGTGTAAAGAGAAATTAATGTGAGCCAGGTCTATCAAAATGTATGGCCCTGAAAGAGTTAAAACAAACCCCATAAAGTGAAAAATCAAGAGATGTGGTAAAAAAAATGTGTGCTAACTAGGGACCAATAGATAAGAATAATCCCCATTGGACCAAAATTGTCTTCATGTTAAATGATTGTTCATCTCTTGCAGTAAATTAACTTTTGTTTGGTACCAAAGAATGCATCCTATGTTTATATATAACTAATTTATTAAGATTGGTGAATCAGCCATGTGCACATATAGACCGGCACCTGAGACAACAGATCACACCTCCAAGACTGTCCCAAATACAACATATTAGGGCAAAACTTTTGGCCAAGAAAAACACCGGTGCAAACCATACTGAACAGTTCGCTGAGAGAAATACAACAGACAGTGAAGTGTATACTAGAGAAAGTTAATCTATTTCAAGTGAATGGAGGAAGAAGAAAGAAAAATAACTAATTTAACTGTCCTCTTGTACAGAAAAAGTTAAAAATAAAGGACCATTTCTGAAGGTTTAGGTATATCGGGTATGTGATGCCAGACCAATATTTATATTGATAAATCAGCACTTGAACTGAATTAAATCTCATTTGAAGTCAATCATGGCTCATTTCATTTATTTTTATTATTATCATCATCATTTAAACATAAAGTTGGACTGACAGTTTTCTCTCGCCAAGGCTGCTATTTTAATAGTCTGAAAGACAGCAATAGGATGTCAAACCAACAGTAACAACACATTTCTGGTATCCGTTTAAGAACCTCTCTATAACATAGAGCTGTAACCTTCTTAACTAGGTGGGTTGGGGGAATTAGCGAGGATTTTAATTAATACTGTTTGACTGTCTTTTAATATCAATCCACTACCTGAAAATGTAACACTTGTGCGACGGTTCGGATTTAAATCCTGGGTATCAGTATCCAGGTTCTAGTTCTAGCAGTTCTCAATCAACAGGACAAAACGCAGATATCAGCTGCTACTGACAGTCTGTGATGATTTGTCACTTGTCAGTCCAGTACTAACAATAATGCCAATATTAAGTGACATGCAGGTGTCTCATGGGGCAGGTAGAACATTATAACAAAGTTTATAATTACATTATTACTGTAAGTTTTCACTGCAGTGTTAATTTATTTCTATAACTTGAAGTTCACTTAAACTTAAACTAAACTGGTCACCCTTTAGTGGCTTTAATTGCTTTACTTTTTTTTTTTTTTTCAATTTTCAGTGTCACATCTAAGTAAATTTTTTATTATTCCCGCATACATAGTCACAGTAAGATTGTGTATCTATTTATCCATAAGAACATATATATGTACTTCAACACATCGCTAGCTAAAACACACCTGCATACAAACAAAGGAGAAAAAAACTTACCGTCAGAATGACAAAGTATATTTGCAGACGAAAGTTTCTCACACAGAAAACAAAAACAGTCGACAAGTCAAGAGCAGGCGATTCTTATTGCTGAATCTCAACAGATTCTACACAAGTAAACGTAACTTACCGACAAAAACCCTTTATCCCTTTCTTTAAACTTACAAATAATTTTAAAAGAAAACCAAGTTCTTTTAATTTAATCTGACACTCATTACATCTTTGTTACGCGACGATTCGTTTTTATTTGAAATTCAATAACTGTCTAATGGCAAATGCGGGTAGAAGTGGTGCTTCGTTTATATTCGTGAAGATGAGGAAGATCAAAGGCAGTATAAAAATCAGATAATTTATTTCACCGGCTCACCAGATCTCTAACAGACATTTGCACGGTTTTCTCCAGTTTCTTCGTCTTGTCTTTGCATTTCACTTCTTAGGATGGCGGAGACTGCACAACGCTGGATCCCACTTGAATCTAATCCTAAAGTACTATATGTCGTTTTTAATCGCTCGATTGTTTGTTATTTGAGGATAATTCTAGAATGATGAAACTGTTTTGAACTTTTTCCCCCTTTTTACTTTTCACGTTAGTTTGTTTTTTAACGTATCGCTGTTTACGGTTCCATTAAAATTTTTTGCGAGTCTGAGACTGCTTCATCAGTTGCACGGGTTTGCTCAATTTAAATTATTTTACACTGGTTTTCTTCATAGTGAAGTTCAAAACACTTAATGATTGATTGATTTCATTGATTTGATTCAAGAACCGACATCACAGCACTCAGGGCATTCCCATAAGCGCTCCGTCTCCATCTTCAGCAGCCAGCGAAGAGTTCCAATACTAATGGTGCCAGTAGCTTTCTGATTAAACGTCCGTCTTGCCTTTCCTCTGAGCCTTGAGCTTCTGCCAGAACCTCTCGTCACCCCCAACTGCATCAATCTCACCAGACTGGTGATCCATCTGCTCCTCCGCATTGTACATGCTCTCCCACAAGGCACTAACCACGTCTGCCCTATCATGTAGCAGTATTCCACCAAGTTGTGCAGAGCCAGCCGGTCTGTCCGCCTGTTCTTTTTCCAACACACCGGCGAGACCCGGTGAAAAAATCCAGACAATACTCCTCACTCGTGTCCTCCGCAGCGAAGCATGCCACTCTGCACGAAGCATACCATACCTGTTCTGATCTTCCTCAGCATGCTTTCTGAATCAGTTACAATTACAATGTGTGTGTCGTGTTCTTTAGCCAGCGGAAAGCTGCAGTGACCACCTCCACCTCCATTCTTAAGCTGGATGTTGTGGTTCAAAACATTTAATTAATATTGTAAAGCCGCTCATTTACAGTCTCTTTGGGGTTAAGCTACGGCGTGCAATGTGCGAAGTTCTCGGCAGACAGCTAGCTGTTCTGCAGAGAGAGACTGGGCCACATTGTGTGAAACCCAGTGCAATGAAGTTAATCCTATCAGAAAAATAAAAATAAATATATCATCATAATATGCTGATGATCTGAGTCTTATCAAGCAATAAAGGCTCCACTTCCATTCTCATATGTCCATTCACCATATATAGACATACTGTTTTTGGGACTTCATATAAATATCATACCTATTTATAATGTTGTTTGTTACACTATTTTATTTGTTACTAACATGTTTATTGCTTGTTTGTTTGTTTCAGGTGCTGAACAAGGTAAGATATTGTCAGATTGAGGGTACTGTCTGCTGTATATAAGTTAAATGTGTTGAGTGTTGCTTATTATCATTTGGTGATTCATGACACAGAGGAGTATCATATATATGTATATATTGTTCCGTCAGTTACATATGCTGTCACTGTCAACAACGACATTGTTTTCAGAAGACAGAAGAAAATTAGTCACAACAGAAATTAAATGTTTACATATTATGCTATGTGTAACAAGGAAAGATCAACTTAGGAACAATGATATCAGGAGTAGAGTCAGCACAGAACCGATACTGAACTCAGCTATCCTCTAAATAATGGTCCTAAATTATTGAGGCGGAAAATATACCCTAACAGGGCCTCAGTCACGTGTCAGTTGCGCACTTCCGGGGACTATAACGCCACCACCGAATTGCAAACTTCTGGGGTCTATACCACCACCGCCGAGAGATTGGGGCTGAACTAGATGGCTAGGACCCGCGAGCAAATAAAATGAAGGAAGCTGTAGGAGATGCGGTAGTTGCTGCTCGTGAGTCCCAGTACTCTCGGCGGTGGCGGAAGTCGCCGGAAGTGCGCAATTTAGGACGACGGAAGTGCGCAATTGACACATGACTGAGGCCCTGTTAGGGTATATTTTCCGCCTCGATAATTAAGGACCGTTATTCGTAGGATAGCCCTGAACTTGAAAGTTATTTATAGACAACAGATAAAATGGTTTAGTCATGTAACGACATTGACAACAGATAGGGCACCACAGAGAACACTTATACAGATACAGCAGTAACAGAGCCAGAGGTTGACCACTGTCCAGATGATGGTGCAAGAATATCAGAGATACTGAAAAGTGCTATATAGAAAGCAAACACAAGAGCCCATCCCATAGATCTTTTCCTGCCCTGACGCTGTGAGGTGTACAGGTAGAGCAAGGTGGTTGTTACATGTGCCACTATTAACATGTTATTTTGTAAAGCCATAGATGAGATTTTCAATAAAATCAACATCACTTTTATGTCATGCCTTGCCAATTACTGTGGACAACATTTCTCCTTAGCCAGTGTTCTTTAGTAGAATATATTCTTTTTTGTCATATCTTTCCATGTCATAATGCTAGAATACTTTCTTGGATATGTCAGAATGAGTAATCGTTTTGGAAAATGCTTACACATGAAGACAGTTTGGGAATATTGGTGGGGATGCCCCAGTATCTTTGACTGTAACACCTGTATCACCCTTTTTTTGTGTGTGTTTAATAAATAGTCTGCAGTGGAAATCAAACCCTAGTACTCATAGATCATGAAGTTGTTGACCGCGTTCACTAATCTCTTAGCTACAAAACCGCACAAAACGCTTGTACTTGCGAACTAAACTATGGCCAGAACATGACAGATGGCTCAAGACTTTGCAACAGAGATCCCTGTGAAATATCTGGAGTGTTCCTTTGATACATTGTTCTCTCCGCTTCCCCAACTGCTCTGCCCCCATGACTGCAGTATGCTGGATTAACATCTCAAGGATGTGAATCAGGCAGATGCAAATTCTGGGACCCCTTTTGACCGTATAGCTATATAGCACAGTTAGACTGGGACACTGACATCATCTGTGGTGAATTAAAGATGGGTAGAAGATATCAAGGCTGATCTATACTACGATATAAAGATGTGTGCAAGTGGGACATGAACGATGCAGGTATTGAGGTGGACTCCTGGGAACAAAATGATATAGACCGTGTTGTGTGGCGGGGGCACATCAGGAAGGAAATGAGAATGAAAGAATAAATGATTGCAGAAAAGATGAGAGTGGAGCATCTGTAAGAAACACTAAACACAAATGTTAAGGACAACAATCCCGAAATCCAATGCTATAATTGTGGAAGACTTTTCTTGCTGGTCAAACTCGCCATCGCCGTTGGCTGTGAGTCCCATGCCCCCTCATAGCACAATATAACACTATTGTCTGGAAAGTCGTAAAGGTACCAGTCATTTGGACACCACAAAAATGGTTACGCGGCAACCTGTAGTCCAGTGTGGTGTGTCTTGTTGGCCGATGCAATGATTAAAATCAGTTTATTTGATACCGCTCATTTTTTCCCGGCAGTATGTTCACAACCTTGGAATGGACTCCAGCTGGAATTTTGTTGATATCTATGGCCTTGATCCTGACCTATTAGCAGCCGTACCTAAACCAGTGGCTGCAGTTATTTTATTATTTCCTGACACCAAGGTGAGATCACATTTTTAATCTTTTTTGTGATTTTTTTTTTATTAAAAAAAAAATATAGATATAAAAATATAAATGAAAATTACTGTGGAGTTTTCTGTTTCCTAACTGCCAATTTTGAGAATTGTTCTTTTGAGTGAACTCAAGTTTAGATCTCAGTAAGTTAACGTAATTCCCAGTTTGGATTTAGGGACCCCATTTTATGGGGGGGTGGGGGGGGGGGGGGCATAGACCTGCTGTCTCTTAACCCATCATGATCATGTAGCAGGTCCTTTGCAGATCGTCACTCTCATCGCAGTCAGCCTGAAAGAAACTTTGTCTCTTGCCTGCTCTCCAGCCTCGTGCACTTTCACATTTAAGGAGGCATTTATATCCTGTGCCCATCTTCACGTTGATCGACCTTTACTCCTCCTTTCTGGTACCATGCCTTCTATTATTTGTTCCAATCCGCCATGGTGTTTTATATGACCAAAATGTTTCAGCTTCCGAGATAAGATGATGTTTATTAGCCAGTCTTCCATGATGTTCAGATCTTTTGAAATGTCAGTATTTCTTCTTTTTTTTTTCCCCCCATGGTATATTCTTAGGCTCTTTCTAAAGCATTTCAGCTCAAAAGCTCCCAATTTTTTTTTTTTGGTAAGAACTTGGAGATAGTTCATGACTCACATCGGTATGTTGCTTCAAGGAAGATGCTTGCTATCAAATTTTAACTTTGATATCCTTGCCAGTGCTTAACTAGCGTGTTGTAAAAGCGGGCCGACTAATTAAGAGTTTGTTGAAATTTAATGTGTTAGTCTGAAAGGCGCAGATATTGCAGTCTAACTGTAGCCACAATAATATCCGCCAACCACCCTTCAAAAGGGGGCAACGAAGAAAAAGTTGCACAATTACACTGTAAGGATCTGACATCCTACATGATTTAAGCATCGAGAAGAATTGGCTCATAAACAGCATCCTGTCACAAAAGCTGAGGTATTTTGCTAAGTTAAAGGTCATGGTGGCCTGTAGAGAAACAGTGATAAAAGGAACCGTTTCTGGAAAATTAAGCAGAGGTAGACCTCTGTGGAAGTGGATACAAGATATTCAAGATGAATTGGCTTTGATAGCACATAGGGCTGGAGAATTAGCTACAGAAAGAGACAGACTTCCAGGCGTGCCTTAGTGACAGTGACGTTCTGAAAAGGACCTACTGATTGATTGTGAGTGATCTTGATTTGTGACCATACAGTCGTGTGTTCTGTTACCCCTTTGAGGCAGGAATCTTTTACTTTTACTTTACCCAGGCTTCGGGATGGAACTAGCCTTAACAACAAAAGAATTTCCATCATTAGTCTTTTTTAGTTTTTCAATATATATTTTTTTTTTAAATTAAAAAAAAGAGAGAGAGTACAGATCAATACATTCTTTTTTTTTTTTTTTTTTTAAAATTTATTATATATATAAAAAAAGAAGATAGTGCTGATCAATACATTGTTTGTTTATTTGTTTATTTCTTACATATTAAAAAAGAGAATACTGTAAAAAGTTCTTGAAAGTAAAGGCAACTGACATGATCTTGGTTGCTGTCGCGTGCAGATGTGCACTAAAACACACCAGTACTGAGTGAGCAAATAAGACATCAAAACAATACGTAACGTCGTGCAGGATTGTTGTCAAAGGCAGTTGATGTTTACAGTCCGAAGGAGACGGACGTGTGGATCCCTGAGGACGCTTTACCCCAGGATTCCACGGAAGCAGACGTTGTATTCAGTTGGATCCTTGAGAACATATTACCCCGGGACTCCACTATAAACCTCAGCAGAAAGCGGGTATATTGTCACAGTTCGGCAGTAAGCCAGTATACTTCTATTACCTTATTCAGACTGCGAAAGAAAAGATAAAGATGACTGTCTGGATCTCAAGGTCAGACAAACATCAATCCTATTCCAATGCATCTGGTGTGCGCGACAAAAAAATCGGAAAAGACATTTTCTTTCCCTGGGCGATAAATAACTGTGAAGTTAAACGTCTGTAGATAAACCATCCATCTTAGGATGCGTGAGTTCTTGATGAGTGCTGAGTTCAAGACTTCGAGTGGACGATGGTCTGTCAAGATGAAGAAATGACTGCCGTACAGGAATTGGGTAAACTTCCCTACTGCCCAAAAATGGCTAGTGCCTCCCTCTCGCCCACGCTGTAAACGGTATTCAGTGGGAGACAGCTTCCTGCTGGCATACACAACAGGGAGTAGGGTGCCATCTCTCGATTGCATCAACGTTCTCCATTCGCAACATCGGACGCATCTGTGGACACAGAACGGCAGAGACAAATCTGGCAAACACAAGAACGGATTACTATTCAATGCCTTTTGTAATCTCTGGAACGCGTCCTCGCACTCTATCGTCCAGATCACCTTCTCTCGTCACAGTTGCATCTCCAGCTGAGTGCAGATTAATCTGTAATGGGAGTTGTATCATGTATATACCTACCTCTCAAGACTTTGAACATGGTGTTTCACTTTATCACAGAATGATTTGAGGCAACAGTTTATAATGTTTGTAAAAACTACTATACAGTTGTAAACTGTACTAATTTGCTGCAGTGTATGGGATTCACATTTTTGCTGCTTTAGGCTTATTACTATAGATCACTAGCACAGTAATGACTTTGTAAGAGTAGTCACTTAGAATATTTTTGTTTTCTTCAGCCTGCAGAGCTGATTGGGTACCTGCAACAAGACTTCCCTCCGGATCTTTACTACACAAAACAAACAATTGAGAATGCCTGTGGGACCGTGGCTCTTGTGCATGCGCTGGCAAACAACCAGAACCAAATTAAGTTTGATGGTGAGGAAAGATTACATTGTTATTTTGTTTGTCTTCTTCTTCGCACTTAAGAAAGGCAGTTAGCAGTGTAATTTACAGCTAGGCTGTGAAATCCGTACCTTGTGGCCCTGCAAATCCTTTATTGGTCGTCTTTTGTGTCCCGTTGTCTCCCAGTATTTAGATTGTGAACTGGACATGGCAGAATCTGTATCCATATGTACAGAAAGGTTCAAGAGTGGGGACACAACTTATGTCATCTGGACTGGTACCCAAGAATACTGAAGATATCATGGAAAGATAAAACCAAACGAAAAGTAGATCAGCGAGCTTTACAGTATGAGGAACACAGACAGAAATAGAACTTTGCAGCTACAGAGCCTTCATCTAAGAATCGGCCCACCCCTGAGATTATCTCGGAGGATAACTGGCCAAAATATTTGTTGTTGAAAGGGGGACCACCTACTGATGATCGGTAGACTCCTGCTGTGCATGCTCCCACTGTGGAGTTATTCTTATGTATACAAGTCCCTCTTTTCTGTGCAGGAATCAGTTAATGAATGTTTGTAGTTTATTAGTAACTGTTTTATGAAGCTATATAAATCCCATCCTGATATACAGAAGTGAATCATGGACAGTTGATCGATTAGTGAAAAGTTATGTGGAAGTTGTGGAGATGTGGTTTTATAGACAAATGATAATACCATAGGCAGATAAAAATAGTAATGAAGATGTCTTGAAAGAAATGGATTCACAAAGAGAGCTGATTGCTCACATCTGAAAGAGACAAGCTACATTCTTTGGTCATGTCAATAAAGAAGGAGAAAACTGGAGTACATCCTGACAGTAAGAAGATTGGAGGGGAAGAGTAATAGAGGGAGACAGAGAGAAAATACTGGGCAGTTTGACATCATGGCATGGAAAATCATCTGTGTCAAAATTAATTGAATGTACACGAGACAGAAGGTTGTGGATAGACATGACTACCCACACCACGAGGCATGGAATTTAAGAAGTAGTAATTGTTTTAGTTGTTCTCCATGTTTCAGCTCAATAAAGCAGCACTGATTTGACATTAGAGGAGAATGTTGTGAGTTTTATTTGTTTTAAATTTCCTTTGATTTCTACAGATTTCCTAGAGCTATGAAAGCTCTTCTTGCCTTGTGTGTATTTTTATATTACTGTCACTTTCCAAGTCTGTACCTAATTACTGCCTAAATAGGCATGTTGCCACGTACTAGAGAGGAATTTTAGCAGCAGAGATTGCGTTATTGTTTGCATGATTTATTCTCATTATCCTTTCGGATAGTGAATCCTTAAGATAATGGATCCTTTTGAAGTGAGTGAAGAGTACGCAGGCATAAATAGATGATCACAGTCTGAGGAGAATAGAGCTGCAAGGATTGACCGTGCGATCTGTGTTTGCTGCTGATAATTGAGTTGGAAGTTTATACAATAGATCAACATCATGGCACAAGGGTAGTAACCCTAAGAGCTGCGTTCTGCTTCTATTCAAGTCCGAGTAATCTCAGCCCAGTGCAGGAACTCCTTAGTACCGGCAAGGATCCTCAGATACTTTTGGGTAGATTTTTAACTCCAGATTAGGCCCGGGCAGTGCCGTTAGACTACTCTTTTTGATTTCCAATTGCAACGGAATTTTTTTTTATGTGCACAGCAATACACTCGGGCCTCCGATCTTACTACCCAGAGATTAGGTGGGGATGGAAGTTCTTATGGGGATGTCCTGAGTGCTGCGATATTAATTCCTTATCCACCATTATCATTATCTATAATCTTTTACCTGCTACATAATGTAACATTTTGACAGTTTTCGTGTTGAACTTCTTCGGCAGATACTAAACACTTCAAGACTTTTCTGGAGATGACCAGTACTCTGAGTCCAGATGAAAGGGCTAAATTTTTGGAACAGGACAATGTAATTATCAGTTTTTTGTCTACTAGTTTTCCCTGTGTTGGTTCCAATGCCCCATTTTGAGTGGGAGGGAAGAAAGAATATCAAGCCTGTTGTAAGAATATATGGCCCCTGGGGTGGGGGGGGGAGGTCCTTCGCAGTCTGAGTGCATCTTTTCTGAGGGGCTAGAAGAAACCAATAGTTTGCATACCAAAAAAGCCAGATCTTTAACGGTGGATATGCACATAAAACGCAGGTTCTGGAACAGGACTAAACTCCAAAAGTGGATTGACAACTTGAACTTTTGCACTGATGTTAACAGCCAGTGAATTGTGAGAAGTCTGTTAGTGTGTAATTTTAGTGAATATATGCATTTACTTTGCTGCTTTTATTAGGAAATTAAATCACTAATCACAAGCTACGACTGGGAAGCTCACAAGAAGATGATGGGGAAAACGTTTCACTCAGAATCCTTATCGGTGGACAACACCAGAAGAAGAAGAATCCTAAACACCCACTCTACCAATCCCTTTTCCCAAACAGGGAAGTCATATCGCATAATGAACATGTAATTATTTGCGTTACTTCTTAATAGCAGCTCGACTGCAGTTTTTTTTCACTTAGAAATTATTCAGGGTATCGTTACTTCAATCAGAGGAGCTGTTTCTGCTCCTTGTGGTTCTCATGTTTCCAGGTAAGAGGATTGGCTGGCTGAAGGGTTTAAGAACACTGGGCCCAGGTTCAAATCTCTGGTAATATTGTGGATTTTTTTTCCTGATAATATCATGTAATTTTTTTGAGTAATATCATGGATTTTTTGTTCTGTTGGTGATATTGATTTTAATCTGTCATGAGGCAGAAATAAAATTCTAACTTGTACAGTCTGGCGACAGCACTAGCAATACAATCCTCGAGCTCAAAATCCCCCAACCTACGCTGCAGAAATGGCAGGCAGTCATTTGCTGCCAGGTTGACCCAGCCTAAAATGAGTATCAGAACATATAATAGAAATAAAGATGTGTGGTGCCATGTTGGCCGTATTTCCTGTTGTTTGCCAATTGATCTGTTCAAAAATGGATCTGGCACAATATGCTAATGGGGCACATCCTATACAGAAGTTTAGCTGCAAAATCCAACCAGTCATGAACAAGGTTGTTTATAGAGCCTCTACGCCATAGGGAGATTAAAGCTGTTTTGGCTGTGTGTGTCGCATTGAATCATTCTGATTGTGAATTAACTCAGTGTGCAAAGTACTCTAGTGTAAAATCAAGAGTGATACCCTAGCAATCAATAGTTGTCTAAACATTATTGTCATTGGCTGTAATATCTGTGATGGCATAATCATAACCCAGATAGAAGTTTCATCAGAGAGTCATATTTTACATGTTTTTATTCTTTCCTGTAGAAAATGGGAACAGCACATGATGATTGTGCTCTAGAAGGAGAAACACAGGTAATTTTTTTTTTTTTTTTTTCAGTTTTAGATTTGCCTTAGTACATTCTGCCATTTGTAGCTCTGGTGGTGGCCTAAGTTGTAGTTCCTGCAGCGACCCTCTTTTTAAGGCACTGGATGTTTCTTATCTTCTCATCACCATTTAAGGCCTTACAGTCACACAAGATCACAGGAAACCAAACTTTTTTTTTAAACATTTTAAGACGCTATGTGTGTATATCCATTAGATATTTCTTTGATAATAACAGTTAAAAATCATGGGAGCATTCTCAATGATCCTGTATAACTACATCTGAATATAAGTGTCAGTAAAAAGCCGAAAAATAGCTTCAGTTATAATTTTTGTGGTTATATTTTACTTTGAAATCTATATGTGTCTGAGAATAGGCCGTGAGGTAGATGAGAGGGTTATTGTATAGGCAGACCTGTAAACAGCTGGTGTTACCAGCTGGAAAGAGAAGAGCAGAGATGAATGGATTCAGGTGATATCAGGTGAACCTCAAGAGCTTGGAATTCTGGAGGAGGAGACGAATCCTCTGTTGTGAATATCTTTGTTGATGACTGAGAAAGGCGGGGCAATGTCCTGTGTTCATTAATGTTAATTCTTGATTAATTCATTCACTCATTTCTTATGCGAGGGGACTTGAAATGAAAACCTGAAATGTGACAGAAATTACAATAAACAGTATCCTGTCAGTATTGTTGTTGAGAATGTTAAGCACATGACATCACCATGGTGATGTCACAGTGAGTGTTTAAAGATGGCCACCCCACTTTGCTCCACAGAGGAGCAGCAGTCTGTTATCCGTCTTCTCATCGATGTAGGGGTGAAACCTGTAGAGAGAGAGGAAAAAAAAACCATTTGAGGTTTTTATTTGAAAGCATACGTATTCTGCCAAGTGTTCTACTAATAAATGTTTATGATTTTAGGCTCCTTCTGTGGATGAGCGTGTGAAATCCCATTTCATTGCTTTTGTCCATTACAACGGACAGTTATATGAATTAGGTGAGTTGAAGTGATGTAAAGTAAGTAAAAGTGTGCAAGTATTGTAAATCATTGTCGAGTTGCTTTTGAATGGCTAGTGAATGAAAATTAATACTCTGTATATGTGGATTTGTAAGAAGCCACACTGGTTTAGCGGCTAGACGTTTGCCTGCGGATCCAAAGGTGGGCTCAAATGCACACACAGCTGAAGTCCCCCGTTCCCCCCCCCCCCCCCCCCCAGCCTTTTACACAAAATGGCCATGGTTCCCAGGTTGACTCAGCTTTAAATGAGTACCAGGTAACATCCTGGGAAGTAAAGGTGACCGACCACCTGATGTTGTCGACATCACCCACTTAGTGCTGATTGTTCTATAAAATATAGGTCTAGTTCTGTATGCCTTGTACGCCTGAAGGTGTGGGAAACGGTCCTTTTACTCTGTGTACGGGGAAAGGCAAGTAAAATATACATTAAAGAAATGAAGTTTGTAGCTCTTTAAATGTTAGGAAATGGAGTTTGTAGATCTTTACATGTTAAGAAATGGAGTTTGTAGATCTTTACATGTTAAGAAATGGAGTTTGTAGATCTTTACATGTTAAGAAATGGAGTTTGTAGATCTTTACATGTTAAGAAATGGAGTTTGTAGATCTTTAAATGTTAAGAAATGGAGTTTGTAGATCTTTACATGTTAAGAAATGGAGTTTGTAGATCTTTACATGTTAAGAAATGGAGTTTGTAGATCTTTACATGTTAAGAAATGGAGTTTGTAAATCTTTACATTTTTAGAAATTGATTTTGTAGATCTTTACATGTTGTGACCAGAGAGGAATACAACCTGAGACGATTCTGGGCAGCCTTTTTTCATATTATGGAGCGATGTCAATGCACAGGATCACAGATTATGAAGAGGCATGATCACCCTCGCCAGTCAGCAAGGCAGTTGATGATGATGAGATCTGTACTGTATATTCTTTGAGTGTTGGTAGATTCTATCTCCAAAAGACAGAAGGAAAATAGTCTCGACAGAAATGAAATGTTTACGTAATATGCTGGGTGTAACGAGGAAAGATCGACTTGGGAATGATGATATCAGGAGCAGAGTCGGCGCAGAAGCAGTACTGAACTTTATAGGTAGACAACAAATCATATGGTTTGGTCAATTAGCAAGATTGGCATCAGACTGAGTAGTGTTTTACAGATACAACGACAAAAGAGCCAGAGGTTGACCACGCAGAAGATGAACCACAGAAAAATCAGAGACACAGAAAAGTACTTTATCAAAGCGAACAGTAGGGTCCGTTCCAGAGATCTCTTCCTGTCCTGATGCAGCGAGGCTTTCCAGGAGTCGAGAAAAGAAGAAGTGTATGGTTCAGTCAGCTCACTTGACAAAGGTTGATTGCATAGAATAGATGAGATGCATAGATGCTGAATCACATGTAGTGGTGCAGCAGGATCAGTGCTGCTACTGGTCGGGACCTATCCACACCTCTCTGCGGTCATCCTAAAAAACAGGTTCCCAACTGGGAGACCGGCCTGTGTAGATAAGGTAGACATTTTCTTTGAAGTCGGAGACCTGATCTGCCTGAGAGGTGAGGAACCAGCAGTCTGCACACAAATAAGCAAGATCTGTAAATTTTTTACTAAAATGGATGTGCATGCAAAACTCAGGCCCTGGCACAAGACGAAAATCCAGGAGTGGATAATCCAGCTGGACTTTCCACTGGAGTGATCGCGAAGAAGAAGAAGAGTAGAATATTCTTTATCGGGTGAGTTTTTGCTTTTGTTTGAGCAATTCTACATTACTTGGGTACCCTGAAAACATCAGATTGAAGATGTATTAAAGAATTTAAATGTAGAATAACTCAAGCGAAGGCAGCTTTTCACAGAATTCAGAATATTGTATGCAATCTTTCTTTGTCAGCTGAGGTCAAAATGAGAATTCTCAAAAGCTATATAAATCCTATCCTGTTATATACGAAAATGAATCATGGACAGTTGACCAGTTAGGAAAATATAATGTCAATGGGTCAGAGATGTTGTTTTATAGTCAGATGATAACACCCTCTTCAGTTGAAAATAACAATGAAAATGAAGGAAATTGACTAACAAAGAGAACTGGTTGCCCAAAGCAGAAGGAGACAAGCTACCATCTTTGGTCATGTCAGGAAAAGGAGAAAAAAATGTGACTACATGTGATGGTGGGAAAGTTATGCAGAAGAGGCAGGGGAAAACTGAGAGAAAAGAAGCTAACAAGTTTGTTATCATGGCATGGAAGATCATCTATGTCAGAACTGACTGAAAGTAAAAGAGACAGAAGGTTATGGATAGGCATGACTAACAACACCACTCAGCAGGAGCTGTAAGAAAAAAAAAGTAGGTCTGTACCTTTAATTTCCTAATTTTTTTTTTTTCTTTTTATATCTTCCATCTACCATCATGATACTATAGTCATATTACCTACACATTGTTAGCAGGAAGTTCTGAGGCAAGATGGTCATCTGAATTTAGAAAGAAAAAAATGGTTTGCCTCTTCCATCTATCAGCCTATTATCTACACATTTTTAGCATGAAATTCTGAGGTAAAATAATCATCTGATTCAAGATTACTTTTTTTTTTTTCAGATGGCAGAAAAGATGCACCTGTTGTACATGGCAAAACTAGCCCCGACACTCTGTTGTTGGTAAGTATGGGTGACCATTTAGGTGTTTAGTTCATTTACAGCACTCATTTATTCCCTTGCGGGTTCCAAGGTTCCAAGACCATATATTGAGGGAACAAATTTATTAACACACACTTTCAGTTCTAGTTAGTACTCAGGTATAACAAGCATCTAGAAAATATAACGGAGACTTTGGAAATAAGGATATGTAGAAAAAAATGAGGATGTTCAGAAGAACAGGTCTTTTTTTCGTGGAAACAAAAAACAATTAAAAAAAACAGAGGTTATAGAGAAGTGGTGAATGAAAGGAGAGTTACCTAAACAAATTAATAAAATAGAGTTACCAAAATAAATAAAAAGAACACTTGAAATATTTTGGTCTTTACCACATTTGTTGTCCCCATCCAGCTTCACCACGAGGGGTTGAGATCCAACCGTCCACTGGATTGCTAAGGAGGGCAGGGGCCAACACTGACATGATGGTGTGATAGGCTTGAGCAAGAGAGGCTAAGAAACATTAGAGAGTCTTGTATTATGCAATACTGCTTCATTAGGACCTCTTAAAGATGTTAATGATTATTGCATTCTAATGCCTTAAACAAAGTCAGCTTATTTTTGTAGGAAACCTTTCTTCTTCTTCTTTTTCACTTCCTCTTTTACCGCTTCAGGCATCAAGGGAGATATAACGTTCTGTTTCTTGCTCTTCTAGTTGCCTCAGCCATAGACACATCATGCTAATATAGAGTTTTGCTGATGTTATCTTTCCATCTTGTTCTTGGTCTACCTTGTGCTCTGCATTCTTCTGCTCTTTTGGTGTATACCCTGTATGGTATGGCATCGTAAGGCATTCTCGCTAAGTGGGCGCACCACTTGATCTGCTGTCTTTGTATGTCATTGAGAATTGGCTTTGTGCCAACTTTTGTCTTTTATGACCTCGTTTCTGATTTTATCACTTTCGGTCCCTCCTGCAGCCCTTCTCAGACGACTCATTTCTGTGATTACTTATGTTCTTTTATGGTTTGTTGTGAGTGACCATGAAACCTTTACAAGCATGAATTACTCAAAAGCTAATGCTTCCTTTCATCAGGATGTTGCTGAAGTGGTGAAAAAGTTCATGGCCCGAGACCCGGACAATGTCAATTTCAACGTGATGGCCCTGGTGCGTGGCGGCGATGCAGAATAGGAACTTTGCATTGGCAGAAATTGTGACCACAGTTTCTACGTTTTATGGCTACAACTGTACTTACTTATGATATGTCCTGCTTTATGAGACACTGGCATCCTTAATGTTTGCTTTTTTCTTCTGTGGGTTTTTTCTAGAAGTTTCATAAACAGCCATTTTGGGAGTGACGGGTGGGCCATCTTTGTATGCAGTCTCTTGTATTCATGACATTCCTTTAAGACTGAAAATGCTTTTGATGTTTTGCAATGTAGACCCCACCATGTTGATTCTGCCTTTAACAGTTTGCAACATTTTAAAGTGTGTATTTTCTTGTTTATTAAATGATGCCCTCTCTCGTGAGCGAGATGTTAAATGAGTGACGAAGCCTTTAATTCTGCTCCCCTTTTTAAAAAAATCCTAAATGGCTGTTATTTGCATTAATTTTGTTTAAATAATTTGGAAAGTTACCTAATTCTTTAATTATGTCCCTTTAACTTCTGTTGAGCATTATTGTCTGCCTGTTTCTTCATGCGTCAGTTCAGTCTACTGATTGTTTTCTTCAAATAGCCTTATTTAAAGGGATTTGTTTATTTATATTTTAAATTTAGTCAATTTTCTCTTTTGTACCTTTTAGAATAAACAACTCATGTTACCTCTTAGTGCTACCCTAATATTTTGTTACTTTTGAGAGTTACTTAATTTTCTGTTTTCTCATAGTTAACTTTTTTTGTTGTTGCTGCTTTTTAAAATTGACTTACACTTCTCTTATCTCTCAGAGTAATCTTATTTCTTAATTTTATTCTTATGTTACATCTTAATCTTATTCTTCTATTACATCTTAGCGCTATCATATTCTTTTTGCTGTCTTTTCAAATTGCCTATACTTCATATCTCTTAAAGTAATCTTATTCTTATATTACATCTTATTTTTCTGTTACATCTTAGATGAATCTTATTTGTCTGTTACATCTTAGAAGTATTTTATTCTTTGGTTACACATTAAAGTTAATTATTATTCTGTTACCTCTTAGACTAACTTAGTTTTCTGTTGTCTCTTAGAGTTAACTTATTCTTTTCTTAACTCTTAGAACTGCTCTAGACTTCTGTTATCTCTTGTAGTAATGTTATTTTTCTCGTTACATCTTAGAGTTAACTTATTCTTCTGTTACCTGTTAATTGCTTAATCGTTCTGATACATTAGTGTTGATAGTGGTGAGTATGGGCTGCTGTTTCAAGGATGGGAATCTCATGTTACTGTTGTCTCAGTGCCAGGACCTTTGCCTTTCATATGCCCCATGCTTTGTTAACAAGCTGATGATGTTTGGATGATCTTGCTGCAGGTGTGTTGGTGATGGTATTGCACCTAGCTGTGTATGTGTGAGTTTTGCATGGATATGGTATTGCATCTTGCTATGTATGTAAGAGTTTTGCATCACTAATTTTGCAGTTAAGTGGAAATCAGTTATATAATGTTAAAGCGTGTACTGTGGTAGCAATTAAGTGTTGGAATTTTCCTAAAAGGAAGCAGACTTTATAGACCATGACAGTGGTCATCATTATGTATTTTCAGTTATTTCTGGCACAGATGTCCGACCATGCCATGCTTTTAAACTGTCCAGCATTTTCTCTCTTGGCTTCCCTCTGCCTCTTCTTCCACTGCAACTATTCCCACCTTCACAGTGTATTCCAGTTTCTCCTTTTCATGATGTGACCAAAGAATGTTGATTGATTCCGTCTGATATGAGTAATCAGTTCTCTACCTGAGGTGATTTCTTTCAAGACATCTGCATTATTTTTTTTTAATCTTAAATCTGAGCAGTGTTTTCTCATTATTTGTTTATAAAAGCACAACTCCGCCAATTCCACATAATTTTTTTCACTAACTGAGTAACTGTCCGTGGTTCACTTCAATATAGAAACATGTTAGAAAAAAACAGAAGTACTTGGATTTTATTTTTACACATATTTCTGGGAGTCTCTTTGGCGAAGTGGTAAAGCTGTTTGCCTCACATTCGAATGTCGTGGATTCAGTTTCTAAAGGACCTTTTTCCACGCCTTTAGGCATTTGGGCTAGACCTATATTTTATAGACCAATCAGCACGGTTCCCAGTAATGTACAAAGTAAACTCTCTCAATCTCTCTGTTTTTTCCTTCCTGTCCTATTTTCTCCCTTCCTTCTTCCCTCTTGCCTTCCCTCTCTCATTCACTCGCTCTCTCTCTTTCTCATTTTCCTCCCTCTTTATCATTATCTCTATGTAAGTCTTTTATTTGCCTCTCTTTTATTTTCTCTTTCACTCTCTTACTCTCTCTATGTATAACACACTTTTACTGTGTCTTTCTGTCTGTTCTCGCTTTATATATTTATCACTGTTTATGCCCATTGTTTATCTGTTGACTCTTTGCCTGCCTATTTCCTAATCATGATAATGTAACCAGGGGAAGTTGAAATGAGAGACGGCCTTTTTCACAATTACTCTATAACTCTACAGTCCCCAATAGAATTGAGTCACAAACCATTGCTTTTGTCTTGATATTGAACACCTGACTATCATCAAATATATTCAGTATCTACTAAATTATTTATTTGACATTGGATATGTCCTATGTTTTTGTTTTTTTCCCAGTCACAATTAGTATATCATGCATTGTGTCATGCCGATAATTAACAAATCAAAGCTTATTGGCTGTGTTGAAAACCTGTTGCTTTTTTAATATTGCCAACCCATGTTCTTTTTGACATGTGGTTTCACTTTCAAATTCATTGCCGAAATATTTTTTTAAAAATAATAATGAGGAGTGGTAGAAAGAGTTATACTTTAGTATGGAATCGTGAAGGTTTGAACATGCATCCTCTGCCTTTTTTTTTTTTAAATTTATCCCTGACAGCTTCTCTCATCTCTTCTTCACCTTCCTGAAGCTCCAATTGTAGATCTCTGTCTGGGCACAGAACCATGTCTTCAGATGTGTCGTGAGTTTTGGATTGTTTAGAAAACATCTACAAAGTGGTTTCTTCATGTTTAGTCTCATGACAGCCACACATTTTTTTTTTTTTTAAACTCTGCTGTTCCCTACAGAATTGGGACCAAAACCATTGCTTTTATCATAATATTAAATACATGACTATATTCAGACATATCCAGTATTTTAAACATTATTTATTCGACGTTGGACATGCCTGCCATTTCATTCCTAGTGACTTTTTCCACATTCCAAAATGAAATTTTAGAAATGACTCGCCATGTTCGGTGAATATGAAAAACACATCTTCAGTTCATAACTATCTCTAGGTACGTGCCTTGACCCCTTCATACTGAAGTGCAAAACTTGTTTAACCTTTCTGTATCAAACCACATTTTTTGGCTGAACATTGCTCTTATATCTTATAGTTGTTGTTTTTTCTTGTAAAAAGACAAAAATGACTGTTTTATCTCTAGTCAGAAGAACATTTACATCTGGTCATTATTGCAACAAAATATCAGTTATGTCATTCATTTTAGTGTTCTTTTTATATTGATCATTTTCTTGTTTTCTTTACGTAAACAAGAAAACAGTCAGTCAGTATTTTGCTCTGGTCAGTAAAACATTTACATCTGGTCACTATTCGAACAGTATATCAGTATTCTCATTCATATTAGTGTTCATTCCTATTGGTCATATTCTTTTTTTCTGAAAGTGAACAAGAAAACAATGACTATATTCCATTTTTTCCCCCCAGGAAAACACTTTTTGTATCATTATTCACCAAGATAACAGCTTTTTCATTCATGTAGTGGGCTTTCATAGTTGTAATTATCTTGTTTCCTTTAAGTGAACAAGAAATCAAAGCCTGTATTCAGCTGGGTTTTTTTTTTTTTTACTTTATCGATAAAACACTTTCATTCTGTCATTATTCACTAAGATAAAAAAAATGTGTTATTCATACTGGTTTTCTTTCATGGTTATCTTTTTCTTGTTCTATGTTAAATGAACAAGAAAAGCATTCCTGTATTCATCTCTGGGCATTGGAACATTTACACCGTCTTTATTCTAGTTTCTTTTAAATGAACAATAAATCAATGGCTGTATTCAGCTGTAGCCGTTAAAACATTTACATTCGGTCATTATTCAGCAAGATCACAGCTATATCATTCATTCGGTGTGCTTTAATAGTTGTGATTTTCTTCTTTTCTTTAAATAAGCAAAAAGCAATGGCTGTATTCAGCTCTAGTCAGTAAAAGATGTACATTCATATGTTATTCATCAAGATAACGGTTGTGTCATTCATATTAATTATTGTTCTTATGTTTTTTGTTTTGTTTAAATGAACAAGAAAACCATGTTTGCAGTGAGTAAAACATTTATTTTTTGTCATTATTCAACAAGATAGCTGTAAGGGTCATCATACAATAGTCTTTCATGCTTGCAAAGCTATAATTCAAAATATTGCATGTATATATATACTAATCCTGAATTCTACTAGGATTTTTCTAATTTTTTTTGTTTTAGTGTAAGCATTCCTATCCGACCACACCAAAATTTAATTTCAAGTATAGACAGGGAAGTGGGTAGATTGATAGCTAATTAAGTAATTGAGTAGCTAGGTAGACAGATGAGTAAGTAGAATAAAATCACTGGTTTTTTTTTTTTTTTTTTTTTTATTTTAAAAAATTGTTTTCAGTTCATGAATGATATTACATGAATTCTGTTAGTTTTCTGTCCAATTCACACAAAGCATTATAAATAATAGACAAGAGATCCTTAATCTTCTCTTTTAAACCTTGCACACTTCCCTGAGGTAACTGGAGAAAAGTCAGAGAAGAATGAAAAATTATGTTCAATCATGTAGTATTGAAAAGTGAATTCTCTTAGTTAACACTTTCTATCCAACTTGCACAAAACAATAGAAATAACAGACAAGAGATCAGAATCTTTTTGTTTTAAATACACACTTTCCTCGGGTAACTGGATAAAAAGTAGAACAAGGTGGAAAAAAATTATGGGCAAATCTGATAAGATGTTGAAAAAAAAAATATGAACACTTA